CATGGGTTCCTCAGGGTTTAACACTCTGCAAACCACAGCCCAGGCGCCACAGGCCCCTGCAGAGATTTGAGGGCTTGCACAGGCGCAGATTTGCACCACAAAAGCGGTATTTTTGGTATTTTCAAATGAGTAAGCCTGGAATTGCCAGGTTAGAGAGCTGCAGGCCACCAAGTCCCTCACATCTAGAGCTCTGTGGTTGCACTCCTTGTTTCCCTTTTCCGTGGCAGAAATCTAAAAGGGGAGCCCTGAAACTCTTATCAGGACCTAGTGAAATGCCGTGTTCTGCTTCAGAGCAGGAGACCAGGGGTGTCGCCCCACGGAGAGGGCAGCAGGTGCGGGGCTGACTGCAGCCCTCAGACAGAAGTGGGGAGGCTCAGGACAGATGTCACCTCCCAGTGGCTGCGGCCATTAACCTTCCTGCTCCTCCACGTTAGTTTTGAAGGGGAAGTTTTCTTATACAAAGTAACTCCTAGGAGCTTTATCAAGAACCAAAAAAGTAAAACCCAGCCAAAACCCACTGCCTTCTCGGGAGGCCAAGAGAGGGCGAGGGGTCCATTGCCTTTGTTGGTTTTGCCTGCACCGGCCAGACAGCAAGGCCATTGGTGGCCCTGGTGCCAGCCAGAGCCCTGACGATGCTGCCTCCCATGGGCCCCGAATCCGAGGCACCTGGAAGGGTTATTAGCAGGATTGGAACTCATCCCTCTGCTGGGACTAGATCATAATTACAGTAATTTTCTAACAGAGCTGGGCAGTAGGACTGTTTAATCAGCATCTGACTCCCCTGTGCTCCCAGCCCTCATCACTCAAGGAGAGGAGTGGGCTGGCTCTTAAAGAGACAGCGCCCGCCTTCCAGCACTTGGAACAGATGTGCCCTAATTGGTAGAATATATCTAAGTCTCGTAGCTTATAGCAGGCAGGTTGCATTGCCTCCAACAAACCGCCTCGGGCTCTCACTATTCTGGGCCTTCTGCTCAAGGGACCTTGGTCAAGCTGCTGGTAGGCCTGGCTTCCCACACCAACGTAGCCACCCGGGGAAGCACATACGCAAGGCTGGGGCACTTATGGAAAGATCTAAACTAGCTGGCCCCCTCAGAATGGATGGTATGAAGGAAGAGGTGCTTGGCTGAAGGTTGGAAGGAGGGACATACCGCCGCAGATAAGGAATTTTGGCTGGGGGCTTCCCATAATCCAAAGATTGCAGAAGCATCTCATGTTCCTGCCTTCCATGGAGGGGGGGGTTAAAAAAATCTTAAAGACTTTCAGACAGTCTCTGAATTCTCACACTCTGGCTTTCCCATCCCTCCCTTTGTATTATTCCTGCCCCTTTCCCTGCTGAGTAAGTCCCCCTTCATTTGCCTCCTCCTGTGCTGGTGGAAGTGGACCAGGCCTCCCCTGAATGGAAGGGATGGAAAATCACTCACCTTGCTCATTGACTCGGGAGCATTCTGTCTCCTAAAAAGTGTGGCCTTTGTGCATAAACTGTCCATGTTTACTGTATCTTGAGATTTGAGGTTCCAGCTTTTAACTCCAAATCTAGCCATTTCTAAGGTGCAACTGGTTCTTGCCAAGAAGTTTTTTCTCTAATAACATGCTAGGACTGGCTCGTGCCACCCTGTTGGGAAGTCAAATGCATATTTGGTCTTTACAGAAGCTCCTGAAGGAGTTCTGTACAGCCGGGAGTAAATGAGAAGAGGTGAGTAGTTGAGGGCGGGGGGTGCGGCGTGAGGAAATGAGAAAAGGTGAGTTGGCGTGGGGAGGGGGCAAATGAGAAGAGGTGAGTTGTTGGGGGAGAGGAAATGAGAAGAGGTGAGTTGGGAGGGGGGCTCCCGAGGTGGGCTGAGGAAACCCTCAGGAAAGAAGGGATCATGGTAAAGAGGATGGGAAGGGGGATGCTTCTCCACAATTCAAAGAAAGTTTGCTTTGAGCCAGGTGATGCCCTCTACAGAGCTGAGTCCCTGCAGGCAGAGGGCTGCTGGGAAGCTTGGCTTAGGATCTGTGCCCAGGCGTGACTGAGGAAGTCACCATCCCACCCCACGCCCGGATAGGCTTGGCTTTGGCTGTGTCTCCATGGGCTGCTCCCACATCAACCTGCAGCTGCCGCTCCAGTCTCTGAGCGAATGTTCCTGTGGCCCCCGTGAGGCAGGCCAGGCGCTGCTGTTTCCATCTCTACCCTCAATCCCACTCCTCATCCTCCTGGCACGCTGTCCTCCCCACACCTCGGGTGGGAATAGCCAGCGAGAGCTGAGGCATGGGAACAAATTCATGAACTTCAAGTCCAATCAGGTTATCAAAGAGTCATGATGGCCTCCCAGACCCAGCGGCCAGAGCGGGGTCTCAGATGTGGTATCTAAGGCGGGACCCGTCAGAACACAGGACTGCCGAGGAGCTCAGATTTCTGAGAACTACTCTGAAGAGCTACTCGAGTGGACTTCAGTAGTGGGTTTATTCTGGTTTTTAAAAAAAAAAATCTGGGGAGGAGGGGCGCCTGGGTGGCTCAGTGGGTTGAAGCCTCTGTCTTCAGCTCAGGTCATGATCTCAGGGTCCTGGGATCAAGCCCCCAGATTGGGCTCTCTGCTCAGTGGGGAGCCTGCTTCCCCCACTTCTCTGCCTGCCTCTCTGCCTGCCTCTCTGTCTACTTGTGATCTGTCAAATAAATAAATAAAATCTTAAAAAAAATAAAAAATAAAAAAATCTGGGGAGGAAACAAGCAAAAACCTCATCTAACAGAGTGGGGAAGTGACTTCCATGAATGTGCTCTCCCAGCATCTAAAAACGTGCTTCGTAGCGGCGCCTGGCCGGCTCAGGCCACAGAGCACATGACTCTTGATCTTGGGGTTGTGAGCTCGAGTTCCATGTCAGGGGTAGAGTTTACTTGAGAAATAAACAAGAACATCCATTTTAAATGAATAAAAACATGGTTTTTAAAAACTACCCTCAGCTCAGCTTCGTTTCCTCAGCTAGAAAAGGAGTCTACTACTTGACTTGGCCTCTTCACTGGCCACTGAGGTCAAGTGAAGTGAAGCAAACAGAGGAGACTTATCTTTAAACAAGACCCTCCCCCCCACACACACCTGCTTCCACCAAACAACGTGAGACCCCTGAGCATGGTGGGACCACTTCTCTTGGGTAACAAGAGACGACCAGACTTGGGCCACAGAAGTGGCGGTCAGGTGGTGACTCAATCAGGCACAGAATCCACCTGGAACCTAAACCCTAACACAAAAATACTTCTGTGCTACAAAAGCCGAGTGCAGCTCAGCCAGCCACTGGCCCCAGGAGCTCCCCATCTTCCCTACAGAAGTCAGCGGCCATGGCGGCCAGCCCTTCGAGCACACAGGGACACAGCAAAACTCGAGAGGCAAATGGCACCGCCTGGATGGGGAGGAAAATTCAGCTTTGCTCTCTTCCCTGGTAACTCCAGGCCCGTGTCAGGAAAACTCTTCCCTTCTTAGGACATCTCCTCCCACCGCGCACACTCTCAACTGAGCACAGGACGGTGAGGGGACGGCGCCTGGCCTTAGATTAACTGAGCTGCTGTTGTATGCACTGCTGGTAATGGATCATTAAAAAAGCCGGGAGTCAGAAAAATCGCATCCGTGTCTTTGAATGGCTCCTGCTGTCCCAGCAGCCTACCCTGCTGGTAGAAGGAGCTGCTGAGCACCAACTCCAGGAAGAAAAGGAGAGAACAGAAGAAGGCCAACCCGGCTTGCTGTTTTTTGGCTGAGTAGGGAATTGACACAGACCACCTCCGGCTCCTGTCTGGAAGTTTCTGAGATCAGAGAGCTTCAGGCACAGCTGGGTTCACAGCTGCACCATTTGGAGCATTGGACTCATTAATATTCATGAGTCATCCCCACCAATAGGCAGAGCGGATGCCATTAGCTTAGCATCTGTCGGGTTTTTGTGAGGGTTGTGGATGGAGGGTTTGTTTTGTTTTTTTTTTTTCCCCTCCCTTTTAAATGAACTTCTTTTGACATTTTGGATTTGCCTCTGTAGGTTTTCTCTCCTCGCCTTGCTCGGCTGCATCATCTAAAGGAGAGGCCCAGGGGAGGCGGGCAGGAAAGAGGGAGGAGCCCCCGCCGGGGCTCCGCATCTGCCTGTTGACAAACTTTATTTCTCTCCCAGCACCTGGCACCTCACCCGGGCTGCAGCAGGTAAATTATACCTAACGAGGCTCGTGCCCGCGACGGGGAGGAAAAGCCGGATCCCCGCGCCGCGGAAGGCGGCCCCTCCTCCGGGGCCGGACCCGGCCGCTCGCCCCACGCGGGAGAGCCGCAGCGCCCGGGCCGTTCTTTCCACGCTGATAAACTCATGATTTATGAAAGTAACTCCTGCCAGCCCTCGCTCCCTCCTCCTCGGCTACAGCTTGTTAGACACAAATGGCAACAGTCTGAAATACTTGGATTTTATTTCAGACCAAAGCCCCTCGACTCCGATCGCAACACCCTGGCAGCCCCCTCACCCCAGCAGAGGCCGGGAGGGGTTAGAGCCCACGGCCGGGGGAAGGGGGAAGGCGGGGGGGGGGGCGCGCGGCCGGAGCGGGGGCGGCGCGAGAGGGGAGCGCTGAGCAGGCAGGGCGCCGCCGGCGCTCCTCTCCTACCCGCTCGGGCTCTGCGTGGAGAGGAATTATGGCAGCGGGAGGGCAGAATGCCTCATTGTCTGTAGGCGCGTCGTTCCTCATCTCCATCCCCAGAGCCCTCTCTCCAGGCACAAACAAAGCCCTTGCGCCCCATTGGACTGAACAGACGGCCTCCCTGCCACACAGCAGAGGGACACTGTGGGAGCTGAAGCCCTGGGGGCAGGGGGCTGTTACTAAGGGAGAAGAGAAGGATTCAAAAAAGAAAGGAGCCCATGCCAGCCCTGCAGAAAAGATTGTCACATCTGGGCTTTACAGCCGGAAGAGAAGGTGACAGCCCGAGACAGCCTTTTCTAAAACAAAGCCCCTGAAACTGTTGCCTTTCCTCTGGCTTCCAGGGGTCTCTTCCAGAGCCGGCCGTGAGGTCATGGATCTAGGGCCCCTCACAGCCAGGCTGAGGGCTGGGGAGAGGCGGGAACCCCCAGCCACGGGAGTCACAGCACCGGTGGGTTCAGTGGTGTTCAAGAAGGAGAAGCAAGGAGGTGGGAGAACAAACACTCACCACCCTGGCCACAAAAGGAGGGAGGCAAGAGGCCAGCCTCCCGGAAACAAAGTGCTCTAAGGGCCGCAGCAAGAAGCCCGCCAGTGGGAATACGATTACACAACCATTTCCATCGGGTCAGTATTCAACAGGACAGCTTAAAAGCGGTCACTTGCAGGTCCCCCCAAACCAGTCAACCTGAGGCAATGCTCCCGCTCCCGTTAACAAACATCTAAAGCAATTCAGCTCCCAGGAGAGTAAACACACCACATATTTCTGTGCAAAACCAACAGCCCATGGTGGGCCTTATGCCTAACTTAAAACCGTCCAGTGTTTAATCCCACGGAGGAAGCCTGAGGAGTTGTGGTGACCGACCTCTATGCCACCAACCTGAGCAGAGGTGACCATAAGACAGTAAGTGGCCCAGACTCCCCAACACCTACCCTGTGCCCCTTTCCCACCCCAGCAAGCCTCCTTGCCGGCATCTTCTCTGCCGCCTCGGAGCAGAACCCAGCGCTCGGACCAGAGCTCATTTTTCTAAAACCGTTTCTAACTGCCCAGGGTCCAAAGGCACCGCACGGTCCCCTCCCACGGCCCTCCTCACAGGCTGAGGAGCAGAGGCGTCCTCATCAGGTCTTGTAAAATCACAGCATGATGGCGAGGGGGAGGGAAGGAGAGGGGGGCTTTCCAAGGAAGGAGCTTCAGAGTCAACAACGGGAGCCCACACCTCGAAATGGTCCTTTTCCTCCCTGGGAGGTGGTGAGGGAGAGCTCCTCCTGCCGGATCTGGGAAGAAAGCAGCAACTGGAAAAGAATGGGAAAGGAACGAGGGCATGAAGAGATACACAAAAATCAGTGGATAAGCCTCGTGAACAAACAGCCAAGGTGGTACAACCACGCAGATGGAGTATTATTTGGCCGTAAAAAGGAAGGAAATGCTGATAGGCACGACAGTATGGGCGGACCCTGAAAACACGCTGAGGGAAAGAAGCTCGTCAGGAACCACCACACACAGGACTCCGCTTGTGTGACGAGTCCAGAACAGGCAAATCCGCAGACACAGAAAGTGGATTAGTGGTCACTGGGGTTAGGAGGTGGGGAAAACAGCGTGTCACTGCTGACAGGTACAAGGTTTCTTTTGAGGTGATAAAAATTGGGGTGCTAAGTTAAGAACTACTGAATGATACATTCCAAGGGTGAATTTTATGGCGTGTAAATTACATCTCAATAAAGCTGTTACTTTGAAATAGGGAGGGGAGAGGAATAAAGAATAAGTGAGACCTCTCTTCTTCCCCCCAGGATTCAACAGTAGAGCCCGCTACCCAGGGATGGGCTAACCCAGATGCTCAGGCCCTGCCATGTGAGAGGAGAGAACCATGTGCAGGGAGGACGAGGCCTTTTCTGAGAGCCTGAAACGCTGTGACGGTGCTTCCTCTATCAAGCGGACACCTCACTGGCCCAGGTTACAGTAATCCTAGCTCCCAGTGCCTCAAAAAAAAAAAAGAGAGCTCTCGTTACCTCTTTGGCTGGTCTCCTTTAGCCAGGTGAGAGGAGCCCTGCCTCTCTTCCTGGACCCAGCCACAGTTGGACATAGCGTAGTGGAGAATGGCGTCAGATACGGTCATGGGGCTTCGGCCCTGGACGCAGGCTTCTATCTCGGGCACCGAGAGCTGGCTTTGTAGGAAGAGGTGTAACTGGCTGTCTGAAAGGAGGACCACACTCTGCAGGACCCTGGGGCAAACAACAGGAGGTACGGCACAGACTCACACTGAGCAGCTGCTGTCCTCAGCTCCCCTCCCCCTGAACGGCTTCTGGCTTGAGCGAGCATGGATGGGGGTGCAGGAAAGGCATGGATGGGGTTGCAGGGAAGGCCTATCTATTTGAAGGGGCCATCCTGCCCGATACCTTCCCCTCTCCCCTCCCGCACTCAGGAGGCAGGTACTAGCCCACTCTGTCTACTCACTTTTCCAGAAAGTGCTGCAGACCTTGTCGCCGCTTCTCGATGAACTCATCAGAGCTGCCAAAGAAGGTTGACTTCCCAGGAAGTTCAGGTACAGGCCTGTGGATCACATAATGTAACACCCAAGATAAATGTAACATTTAAAGACAGCCATTCTGCCCACTGAGCAAGGAATTCCCCTAAGAAGAAGCACAAATCAAAACAAATAGGTTTTTAAAAAGTGGGGGGGGGGGGCAGGGCTAATACTGACAGTGTGCCATGTGTTAGGCACCGTGCTAAATGTTTTACAAACCTTATTTCATTTACTCCTCCCAAAAACCCTATGAAAAAAACTATTGATGTCCCCATTTCAGGAGTAAGGAGGTAGAATCAGAGAAGTTAAGTAAATTTCCCAATGTCACACAACTAGTAACCAGCAGAGCTGGTATCTGAACCACGTCTATGACTTCAAAATGCCACTGCTGCTAAACTACATTGTTTACAAAACCCACTCCCACCATCAGCTTTTTTTTTTTTTTAAGATTTTATTTATTTATTTGACAGACAGAAATCACAAGTAGGCAGAGAGGCAGGCAGAGAGAGAGGGGGAAGCAGGCTCCCTACTGAGCAGAGAGCCCAATGCGGGGCTCCATCCCGGGACCCTGAGATCACGACCCAAGCTGAAGGCAGAGGCTTAACCCACTGAGCCACCCAGGCGCCCCGAGCTCTTATTTTTAAATTTATTTATTTGAGAGAGAGAGTGAGTGAGAGAGGGTATGAGTGGGGGGATGGGGGAGCCAGGCTGGGCAGTGGAGAGGGAGAAGCAGAAACCCCACTGAGCAGGAAGCCTGATATGGGGTTCGATCCCAGGACCCTTAGATCATGACCTCAGCTGAAGGCAGACACTTGACCGAATGAGCCACCCAGGAGACCCATCAGCTCTTATTTTGAAAATGGAGAAACTTGTACATGGCAGCATGGAGCACGTGGGGTCCTTGTGTGTAAATCAAGACCTCCTCCAATCCAAGAGGGCCACATATTTAGAATTTTTTTTTAAAGATTTTATTTGGGGCACCTGGGTGGCTCAGTGGGTTAAGCCTCTGCCTTTGGCTCAGGTCATGATCTCAGGGTCCTGGGATCGAGCCCTGAATCAGGCTCTCTGCTCAGCGGGGAGTCTGCTTCCCCCTCTCTCTCTGCCTGCCTCTCTGCCTACTTGTGATCTCTCTGTCAAACAAATAAATAAAACCTTAAAAAAAAAAGATTTTATTTATATATTTTTAAAAAGCAGGGCAAAAAAATAAATAAAAATAGAAAATAAAAAAAATTTAAAAGAGCAGGGGAAGGGACAGGGAGAGGGAGAGAGCATCTCAAGCACACTCTGCACTGAGCCAACGCAGGGCTCGATCTCACGACCCTGAGATCAGGATCTGAGAGGAAATCAAGAGTCAGATGCTTAACCCACTGAGCCACCCAGGTGCCCCTCACATGCTCTGAATTTTTTTTTTTTTAAATAGTTTCTTTTTTTTTTTTATTTGACAGACAGATCACAAGTAGGCAGAGAGGCAGGAAGAGAGAGACAGGAGGAGAAGGCAGGCTCCCTGCTGAGCAGAGAGCCCAATGCGGGACTCGATCCCAGGACCCTGAGATCATGACCTGAGCCGAAGGCAGAGGCTTTAACCACTGAGCCACCCAGGCACCCCTGCTCTGAATTTTCTAAAAGTAGCTGAGTTGCAGCAAGGCATCCACAAACTCTTTCAATTTCCCTAGCTTCTATTATGAACATATTTTTAAAAAAACAACAGGCCAGGGGTGCCCAGGTGGCTCAGTCTGTTAGGTATCCCACTCTTGATTTCATCGGGGGTCATGGTGTCAGGGTTGTGAGATCAAGCCCCACATCCGGCTCTGTGTTGGGCATAGGGTCAGCTTGGGATTCTCTCTTTCTCTCTCTCCTCCTTTGCCCCTCTCCCCCAGTTCACACTCTCTCTAAAAAAGCAAAGCAAAACAAAAAAAGAGAATGCAGAATCTGTCAGAAGTTCCAACTGGCTGTGAGGGCCTGACCCATGACAGTGGCCTCATCAGTCCCACATGTTAACTAACCAGCTAGGTCACCCACAGACCCCATCCCCAGGGCATTCAGTGACTGTCCTGCAATGGAATCACTGTTCTACACTGTCTCCAGTTTAGGACTTATTTGGGGTGGTTTAAGTGAGGAGTGAACATTACTGCTTTTCGTAAGACTTTCAGTCTGTTATGTCTCTGGGAAAAGGTCTCTGCACAAAAAAGAAAAAAAATTAACATTTTGTATTACATATCAAATGGACAGGAACACCACCGGTCACATAAATCCAAGTGCTAATGAGTTTCTGATCACGAGTGACATGCATATATAAAATGCTAACAGTACATTTGTGTAGCCCTAGATGAAAATGCATATAAAAAAGGAAAAGTATTTTTTATATTTCTATGACTTTGTTCAGTCAAAATACTAGAACTCTTTTTTTCTTTTTTTTAAAGATTTTATTTATTTATCTGACAGACAGAGATCACAAGTAGGCAGAGAGGCAGGCAGAGAGAGAGGAGGAAGCAGGCTCCCCTCGGAGCAGAGATCCCGATGTGGGGCTCAATCCCAGGAGCCTGGGATTATGATCTGATCTGAAGGCAGAGGCTTTAACCCACTGAGCCACCCAGGCGCCCCTGTCTTTACTTTTTCCACTGACTCGAAAACATAATTTTAGAACCCATTTCTCAATTTCCTAAGTGCCTAACATGTTGCCAAGTTTTCTTTATTGTAAACTCTGGTTCTTGTGTATGCCTCCAAAAAGCCAGTCTCAGACCCAAGAAAGAAACAAAAGCAAACTCACACCAAACCAGCATTTCTCTGGAGCTGCTTTCTCAGCCACACGAACTCACGGTAGCGGCGACGCACACAGGACGTTTTGGCAGTGAAGGCCTTGCTGTTGGTCTACAGGAGGAAGTACATGAAAAAGAAAAAAAAACCCAAGTAGAAAAAGACCAGATTTACTCCTCATCGTCACATTCACAGAGGACCCAACCCACCAGGTCCCATCCTGAGCAGGGGCTACGGGCCAGCAGGCAGCCTGAGAGCAGGTGTCCGGCAGACCCCAAGCTCATTCCTCTCCTCCCTCCTTTTCTTCAGCTCAGGACAGTCAAAACATCTACCAACGGCTGCCTCAGCACCAGCCCTCAGCCCCAGAAGGGGTTGACCCCGATACAGAAGTCCGAAGCACTTACGTGGAGAAAGATCTTATAATCCACATAAGAATTCCAGGAGCCCTCATTCTGCACGCGGGGGTCCTGAACACGCACAGTGATCACCTCCTAGAGGTAAGAAAGGCTCCTGCAGCTCACCCACGCAGTGAGCCAGCTTGGACAACATAGGCTGCCGGATTTTCCCAATCAACACCAACCGTCATTCATGTATTCATTCAACTCAACAAGTATTTACTGACCACCCACTATGTCAGACACTGTTCTGAAGCACTGGGGGCAGAACACGAACAAGAGACAAAAATCCTCGCCCTAGTGAACCTCACATTCAGCTGCATTCCAACGAATGGAAACGTTAGTCAAAACAGAACCTTATTTCCCAGGAATGGCTTTTCTGCGGATTTCCACCTCCTGCCTTCATTTTGAGCTCATCAAAACCCCCAAAGTATTACTGTCGTTAGAGTACCATGGAGCAATGAATGGTGTCTTTCCCCAAATCCAATCAAACTTTACCCACCTGTTTCCTGGAGACCACATGCTTACCTCCAGCTCTTGGTTTTCCAACATCCTACACCCAAAGCCCATTGGAAGAAAACATCTGATGGGGGAGAGAGGACAGGGGAACAAATCATGGTTAGCATGCTTCTATTCTTATCACTCTTTATCAAGAAAATTTTCATTGACCCGCCCCCACCTCCCCCGGGGAAAACCCAGGCACCTTTTTTGGGGTTTTTGTGTAAAACTTAAGAGGAAGCAAAAAAAAATTCCATTGCCTTTGCCCAGTGCTAAGCTAAAAGCCCCGGGGGAATTGCCTGCCCTCGCAGACCACAGCCGGGACCCTCAACCAGGCCACCTCTAGCTAAAGCATGTTTGGGTCTGTGCAGCGCTCACCTCAGGCAAGGGGAACAGGCAAATTGGGTTGTCAAACCTTTCTGCCTGAGGGCTGCAGTGAAAGCTGCTGTTTTGTGGGCCTACAATACGCCTCTGCAAGTGTACCTCACAGCGCCCCCTTCTGGAGATTTAGAGACAACCAAGCCCCACAAATACCCACGCCCTGAAGTCTCTATCTTGCTAAACAGTCCTACCCAGAGGTAAATCGTAGAGCTGGAGAGCTCCTGGAGCACCTGAATGGGTTGCCCGGTTGCGACCTTCCCTTATCTAACCTGTCCTCCCAACCCAAGCCAATGGTTCCAATCATTTCCTCTCTCGACATGCTATCCGGTTTGCACCTCTGCCCAAGCACCCCACAGCTGCACGGGTCGGCACGGGATGTTTTCCGCTCCTTTGTAAAGATTCATTAAAGCCTAAGCCCCTGATTTCCCCCAATGTGGCCGTTTACATGTGCAGCGACATCGCCCACTCCAACAAGGGGACCATGAAGCCTCCAGCGCAGGGTTACTCCAGTCCAAAGGGGCCCATGATGTCACCTTCTGTTAAAATACAGCACTAATCTTGTTACTCCTAGAACCACTCCAACAGCATCCACCCTGGCGGCCGCCTCCACCCCCTTCTCCTCTCTTAAGAGCGGAACAATAAGGTTTAATTTCCCTTTCCAATTTACCTTGAAATGAAAACTGACTTCAGCCAATATGTACTGCCAACAAATGATCCAGGCTGGCTCCTGGGAAAACAAGACCATCTCAAAGCTCTCCCTCTCCTCCCCCCATGCCCATTCACACACCCACTCATTTTTACAGTCCTACAATTAATTTTAAACACATTCTCTTATTAGTTCTGCCTTACCATTAGAACAGTGTGTAATGAGTTCCCTTCTATTTTATGTTTTGCTAACACAAGGCTAATGTTTCAGGAGAAGGGGAACTCATTTACACCACGAAATTAGCAGAGCAAAGAGCTTTCCCAGTTCCTTCCAGTATACCAGAAGATCCCTCCACACACAGCCACTGCCCTGCACAGAGACAAAACCTCCTGGTAGATGAGGGACTGGGCTACACTGTTGAGCAAACTAGAGGTTTTGTGACTGTGATACCATCTTTGTACTTTTGCTGACAATCTGATTTTTCATCTGCTGCAGGCACCGTCACAAAGTGGTCCTGAATTGAAAGAAAATTCCAATTCCTTAGCAACCAATGTGTAACATGCCCGATGTAAGCCATCAAATGGCTGTGACCAAAAAGAACAGGCCAACTTGTGAACGATTAACCTCCTCAGATTAAAAAAAAAATTTTTTTTCTCTTCTCTTTTCAGTCATTTGGTAAATTGACAGCACGGCAGCAGAGAGTTAGATATTCTGACATATCTTTTCCTAAAAGTAACGATGGGAAAGATGACAAGGAAATCACAGACATCCACACACTCAGTGGGGCTCACACATCTATGCCTTGAAAGGTTTGCCAAATTTAGGACCATAATTTCGTGACTAAGTGGCCGTCATTCTCAGGTTCAAGAAGAGTGTCTAGGGCTCTGAACCACCTCCAAGTGCAAGTTTCTCTCCTTTCCTTTAGGGCTAAAACCACTGAGAAACAAATAGCTATAAACTGGCTTTAATACACTGGCTTAAAAAAAAAATCTTGGGGCGCCTGGGTGGCTCAGTGGGTTAAAGCCTCTACCTTCAGCTCAGGTCATGATCCCAGAGTCCTGGGATTAAGCCCTGAGTCAGGCTCTCTGCTCAGCAGGGAGCCTGCTTCCCCGTCTCTCTGCCTACTTGTGATCTCTCTCTGTCAAATAAATAAAATCTTAAAAAAAAAAAAATCTTAGCACCGCCCCCAAGATGTTGTATTCTTAAATGTAAGTTTAAAGGGCATTAACAAAGTTTCTATTGTAACTCTCCCTTAAAAACACTGGACACTGGAACAAATTCAAAAACCTAGACTCCCAAGTCATAATTTCTAGCAATTACCATTCTCCATCAGCTTCCTCCACATAAATGCCACTCCCCAGGAGGAAATGAAGCTCAGTTCCGCCCGTGGAAGGGAAGAAGGAAGTTCCTTAGGTTAGCTCCTGATCTGGGAGATGGATCCCCCTCATTCAAATAAGGGTAAGTCAGCAATCCTCTCAGCTACGTATGCATCTCACTCTGCACTAACTACAACTCCTGGGTCCTTCCAATCACATCTGAAGTTTCCTTTACTTTCTCCACCTGTACCACCACCAACCTCTCTGGTAAGACCCAACTGTTTGCTTTTTACAATGTCGATTCCTTGTAAAGTTCTCCTATGTCCTAACAATTCAAGATAGCGAAAGATAGCTTTTGCACCACCATTTTCACTTTCATTTAAACTACTTAAAAAGGCTAAAAAATGGGATGATAAAAGTGAATTGAGCCACCAAGACTCCTACAACTCTTTACTCATTCTTGAGCCATTGGAGCCTCATGGCAACTCAAAAAGCTCTCCTTCCTAAACACCCACAGGTGGCACAGGATGCTTCCTTTTCTGACCAAGTTCTGTGTGTTCCCAACCAAGCAGCTCCGCTCCATCCTTCCGTCCGTCTGTAACTTGCCACTCCTTACACTTGGGAGGTAAGTCACAAAGGCGACTACAGCCTAGCGCCAGAGCCCGCCTCTGTCCCATAAAATACTTGTCATTGGACCTAGCCCGAGCTGTTTCGGTACATGTCGCCGAACACCGGCCACTCCACCTCCATTCTTCACGCACGAGGGGGAAAAGGGCCCCACGACCCTCCTTCTCCTTTGAGAATTAAGCTTAGGCAATGGAAAGGAAAGATACTTTATACTTTAAAAACAAATGAAAAAACCGGGTTTCCTTCCTTTGATCCAGAGCAAGCACCCGCCTTCGTCCCGGGAGGTGAGACAGTCTCGTCCCTAAGATGTCAAGCGAGATCTCCATCCCCAAACGCCACTACTGACGCTCAAGCCCTACTGGAGAGCAGCACCCACTCCCCGCGGCTCCGCCCACGACCCCTCACCTGAGAGCAGCACACACGCCCCAGAGCGACACCGCCCGCGCCGCACCATATAGCCAGAGTCTCGGCTTCTCCTTCCGGGTGAGTGGCCGGGGCCCCGGTGCACGACGGGAGAAGGCTCCCGGCCACACCAATCCCGGGTGTCCAGGACGCCCCGCCCCTGCAGGCCCGAGCTTTCAGCGGCGATCCCTGCTCCAGAGGCGCTGCGCTCGGCCCCGCCCAGACCCTGGCCGGAGTCCGGATCCCCTGACACTCACTTGGGACACTGGAGGGTGGACGCGGGAGAGGAGCGAAGAATGGGCTCTGGCAGCCAATCCGGAGCCGTGGCCTGCCCATCGTTGTCAGGCCCAGCCAGCCAGGCCCAGGGAGTGCTATTAAAGGTCCAAAGGAGGGTCCCCGCGGCCAAGAAGTGTCAGGAGGCTGGCTGTGCTCTATTTGTCTGGTCCAGGACGGTCGGGAGCGCGGGAGGGTAGGGGAAGAAGACGCCCACGTTCCTGGAGCTTCGCAGAGTCCCGAGAGCTTCCCCATTTGAACCCCGTGGGTTGCAGTTCCCCCGCGGAGTTATCGAAGGCGTCCCAACTCACGTTCCTAAAACCACAGATTGTCACAGCGAAAACCGAACTGAGATGGCCCAGCCAGCACCCCGTTCACCTGAGGAAGCAAGTCCAAAGAAGAATCGTACAGCTAGTTAGGGAAAAGAAAATACGTTGAATATGATGATTTTTATGTTATTGAAACGTCTTTGAGCAACCTGTTAAAAGATAATTTTGGGGGGCGCCTGGGTGGCTCAGTCCTCAAGCCTCTGCCTTCCGCTCAGATCATGATCTCAGGGTCCTGGGATTGAGCCCCGCACCGGGCTCTCTGCTCAACAAGGAGCCTTCTTCCCTTTCTCTCTCTCTGCCTGCCTCTCTGTCTACTTGTATTCTCTGTCAAATAAATAAATAAAATCTTTAAAAAAAAAAAAAAAAGATAACTTTTGCAAAAAAAAAAAAAAATTTGCAAAGATACCATCAAGGAAAAGGTCAGGGTCACAAAATACAAGGTCTGGAGTTGGGCCGCCTGAGTGCAGTACCCAGCACTACACTGGACAGTGGGGCTTTAAACTGATCATAAGGCTTTGTAAATCTTAGCCTCCTCATCTGTAGAATGGAGAATACTGCGCAAGGTTTTCTTTGGTTGATTGGTTTGGTTTTTGTTTTTTGAGTGTTTTTTGTTTTTTTGTTTTTATGACAGAGAGATACTGAGAGAGGGTACATAAGCACAGGGGAGCTGGAGAGGGAGAAGGCTCCCCGCTGAGCAGGGAGCCCCATATGGGCTCTATCCCAGAACACTGGGATCATGACCTGAGCTGAAGGCAGAGGCTTGAGGACTGAGCCACCCAGGTGCCCCAATACTCTGGGAATTTCAAAGCAGAGTTTCCAAACGTTTTAGTCTCAGGATTCCTTTACATTTTTAAAAAAGATTTTATTTATTTATTTGACAGAGAGATCACAAGTTGGCAGGCAGAGAGGCAGGCAGAGAGGGGGAAGCAGGCTCTCCCCGCTGAGCAGAGAGCCGGATGTGGGGCTTAATCCCACGACCCAGAGAGCATGACCTGAGCCAAAGACAGAGGCTCAACCCACTCAGGTGCCCCCACCCTTTACATTTTTTTAAGTAAATTATACGACCAACCTGGGGCTCAAACTCACTACTCCAAGATCAAGAGTCACATGCCCTAAGGACTCAACCAATCAGGAGCTCCCACATTATTATTTTTTAAAGATTTTATTTATTTATTTGAGAGAGAGCATAAGAGGGGAGAAGGTCAGAAGGACATAGAGCTGGGAGCCCTATGCAGGACTGGATCCCAGGACTCCAGGACCATGACCCGAGCGGAAGGCAGTTGCCCAACCACTGAGCCACCCAGGCACCCAGGAACTGCCACATTCGTAAAAATTCATTAAGAATGTTTGTTTAGGGGGCGCCTGGGTGGCTCAGTGGGTTGGGCCTCTGCCTTCAGCTCAGGTCATGATCTCAGGGTCCTGGGATCGAGTCCCGCATCGGGCTCTCTGCTCAGCAGGGAGCCTGCTTCCCTCTCTCTCTCTGCCTGCCTCTCTGTCTACTTGTGATCTTTCTCTGTCAAATAAATAAATAAAATCTTAAAAAAAAAGAAAGAATGTTTGTTTAGGGGCACCTGGGTGACTCAGTCCGTTAAGTGTCTACCTTTGGCTCAGGTCATGATCTCAGGCCCTGGGATCTAACCCCAAGTTGAGTTCTCCCTGCTCAGGGGGTATTTGCTTTCTCCCTCTCCCTTTACCTCTCCCCCAGCTCGTGTGTGTGTAAGCGCTCACGCTCTCAAATAAAAAGTGTTTATGTGGGATAGCCACCAAATTAGAAATTAAAATTGAGAAATTAAAAAGCATGTGTTAATTCACCTAAATTAATAAAAAACCAATACATTTTAACATATTTTATGAAATATAACTACACCTTCCCCCCAAAAATAAGTAGAGTGTCACTGCACTACAATTTTGCAAATCTCTTTAATGTCTGGCTTAATAGAAGACAGCTGGATTCTTATATTTGCCTCCCCATTCTCTCTGGTTTGCTGTTATTTTGGTCTAGGAAATGAAGAAAATCCGGTTTCACACAGATACATAGTTAGAAAAGAGAAGGGGTATTTTTATCCAATAATTGTGAATACTTTATACTAGCAAGGCTCAACAAATGGTAATATCTTTTTTTTTTTTAATTAAGAGAGGCAAAGAGGGAATCCCAAGCAGGCTCCACATCCAGCAGAAGCCCAAAGAGGGGTTCCATCTCACAACCAGAAATCAAGACTCAGATGCTTAAGGACTGAGCCACCCAGGCACCCCAGTTTCTTAAAGATTAGCGGCCTGGGCGCCTGGGTGGCTCAGTCGTTTAAGTGTCTGACTTTGGCTCAGATCATGATCTCAGGGCCCTCGGATTGGTCCCTGAATGGGCTCCCTGATCAGTGGGGGAGTCTTCTTCTTCCTCTGTCCCTACCCCCCATTTGCTCTCTCTGGCTCTCTCTCTCACTCTCAAATAAAAAAGAAAGAATCTTAAAAAAAAAAAAAAAAAAGATCAAATTTTATCATTGACAAAATACCTTTAAGTCATTTTTCCTTGAAGTGTCAGGCTCATTCCATTCAAACATT